AAAAAGGAAGAAGAGAAGAGAGAGGGAAGATAGGAGAAAAAGAAGAAAGAAAGGAGAGGAGAAAGAAGAGAGAGAGAAGAAGAGAAGGATGGAGGATAAAGCATTAGAGCATTTGTACCTAGCATTATGGTTTTTTAAAAAAATAACAAAACCAGGACGTAGTGAATTTACAAGGTGAAGCAAAAAAGGCCAAGTGTATTCCATCTCAACATTTCTGAGGCAGAAACTCCAAATGCCGTCCAATCCTAACCACAGAAGACAACACTCATGAGAATTTTGGACAGAGAAATTGAGTATCATGTTGGAAAAAACGGTTGGCTTCTTAGCCTCCCACAACATCAAATTATGGAAAGATTTCACAGGTTGTCTGTATCAATAAAGTATGAATATCAAAGTCCCTTTTCTGCAAATAATGTTTATCTTTATGTGAAAATTTTTCAATCAATATCTCAGTTAAGGTAAGCTGCTCTTCCATAGTAATAAGTCTGGCTTTCAACTGTCAAGGAGGAATAAAAGCAAAGTTCAAATTGTGTTATTTCATTAAAATCAAGTTATTTCATTAAAATCCAGGACCCTCCCTTTGTCATTTTCGCTATCTAAAACAAATTGACTCTGCTGTTCATAACCTAGACCTGTTTAACCCTCAGCTCTTGTAGCCTCCATGTCACTGCACATTCTACCATCAGTTACAAACTAAATCAAAAACCTTCATTCAGAACTTTATCCTCCATTAAGTTTATAAGCAATAACAATGTGACGTGTCTTTCCAAAAGCCTCAGTATCACCTTGGGCTGTATTCAGAGGCACGTAGTATTCACTTTAATTTTGGGGGTGGTGGGGGAAGGTCACAACAAAAATATTAAAGTATTGCAACTCTTAAAGAATTTAGAAATTCAGTATGAAGTTGTAGTGGATTGATGACTGGTGGTCAACTTATAACCCCAGCTGAACTGAGTGAGCGTGGTGCTGGGTGTGGGAGCCCATCTGGGGATTTTTACCAGCAGCATAAGAGGCAGAACTGGAGAAAGAGAAGGAGGCTGCTGGGAGCTGAGAAAGCAGAGGGGAAGATGGTGCACTGCCGGTCTCCTGGAGAAGCTCACTGCATTGGCTTCCTTGATGGGAACTCAGCCAACTTGATAATCAGAGGAGCTCAGGACTTCACTGTTGCTGAGGATGGCTGTTGTGCCTTTCAGGGGAGCTCTGGTTCTTCTGAGTGTCACTTCCTGGCTCCAGTGCAGATCCCTCAGCCTGCTAGCACAGATCCTTCATCCTGCTGGCACAGACTTCCTAGATTCCACCACTGACCTTCGGGCCTTCCCAGCAGAGATCCATGAAACAGGCCTGCATGAGAGGTTGTCGTGGGCTCTGGCCCTCCAGTTGGATTTGTGGGAGGCACTGTTATGAGCTCTAGGTCTTCAGCTGGACTCATGCAGGACATTTCCATGGAATCCAAGCCCTCAGCTGGATTCTTGGTCTATAGTGTGTGGACAGCTTTCCTGGACTCTTTTGTATATCATTCTTTGGGTGACTATTATAAATAATCATATTAAATATGTGTCCTGTATTATATTGTTCCCCTTGCACAATAAGCCCCAAGCCATAACAGAAGTGTTCATTTCTTTCATGCCTGTGTTCAGAACCATTTGAAAGATAACGGAGATCAACAGGCAGAAGTTAGCTTTACTAATGATAAATTATTGGAGAAAATGATGTTAGGTCTGTGGACCAAAGCTCCTCTTAGTATCACGTGCCCACCAACTTCCTCCTCCATCCCAACACACACACCCCCAAAGTCTACCTCTGCCTCAAGGGCAAGCCAAAGCTGGCTCTAAGGAGGAAAAGGACATCTGGGGTCCTTGGATAGGTTTACTCCACCTGACCAACACACAAGTCATCACATAGGTTAAATGAATTCTCTGGGAAGAAGTGAGTGCGTCACAGGGTATGCACAGGGACTAGAGGCAGAGTGCTGTTCTCAGAGCTCCCTCAGCACATGAAGGCAGGAAAGGGGGTTTCCTTCTTGAGAACACTGAACTGGAGCCCTCACTAGGTAAAATGGGAACACACGACGGACAGCCAGGCAGGCTGCACACAACTAAGAAGTCCCTGCCAACAGCCAAGTGCACAGCCACTCAGTGTGTGTGGCCCCGTGTGAGGCTGTGAGGTCTACTTGTCTCCCGCATTTCCTGCATTCTGTGCAGTTAGGCGAGTCCACAGGACCGGGGCTGGCAGGAAAATGTGAGTACAGCTGCCGGGTGTCCCTCCAGGCTAACGCAAGGAGAAATCCACTCAGGTCCAGTCTCCCTCCCTTCTGTGGTAACAAGAGATAGGGGTGCAGATTCCAGGGTCTCCATGACAAAGGGGAAAAAAAAGGAGTTCAGGAAAGCAGTTAGGGCCTCGGAGAAGAAGAGAAAGAGGGGAGAATCAATTCTGAAACCAGTAACAAAGCGTCTTCTACCCGCAAGACAGAGGGCCTGTAAAACCTGCTGAGCAGCACTCCGGAGTTGCGGCAGAGCAGCAGGTGCTGCCTTCTCTGCACTGATGCAGACGGGAGTGCTGCCCCTGTGCGCTGGGCATGAGGGGTACATAAAGCCCGTCTGTTTAATCCTTTGCTCTCCGGGGCAGGAGTGGCTATGCACAGACCCAATTTAGAGACTACCACGGCATCCCTTGCAGGTCCCAAAACAGAAACGGAAAGCCGTGATTTGATGTGACTCCCTTGTTGCCTTATCTAGTGACACTCTTGAAACTCCAGAGGGAGGATGGTGGCGGATGAAGAAATGAAGACAAGAGCAAGATGCAGAAAGCTGATTTCAGGTGGAGCCCCCTCTCCTGAGGGGAGAAAGGACTGCCCGACAACTGCAGTGCATTTACTTATACAACCAGCACATGAGGCTGATTACAGAGGATTTTAAGGGAAGAGTAAGATGTGGAACAGAAAGAACATCTAATCTTCAACAGAACACCATGCCTTGGTGTTACATGCAGAACAAGAGGGGAGTTGTCCATATCATCTCAGGGGAAGGCCAAATCATTTTCTGCGTCAGCTCCCTGAGCTGCGTACACTTCTTGTGGGGCCCTGTCAAACTCACAAGCAGCAGTGACCTTGTCCTAGATGCCCAAGGTACAAACAGCTCCCCACCCCCGAACACCTTGTAGATTGAATCGTCTATTTAGAAAAAGGAGAGCATAGTTCTGTTGGTAACCAGGAAGGAGGACCATGGCAGCAATGGTGCTGTTCACTAAGCATTTTAGTTAAGCAAGGCTGTGCAACTAGTTCTGGCCAATGGGTAGCACAGAAGTGACTCGTTACTTCTTCCTATGAGGAAGTCAGGAGAGGGAAGGACCCTTGCATTGAGATAGCAGAGCCACCCGAGGTGGAAGGGCGCAACATACTGAGTTCCTGCGGGCAGGACAAATTTTCACGAGAGTTATGTGGACCTACAGACTTCGTGTAAAATATATCACTGTTATGTTGAACCTCTGAGATTTGGGGTTACTTCTTAGAGTAGTGAAATTTACTATATCCTGACTTATATAAATCTCTAAAAAACGAACTTTTTGTCCGAGGGCCTTCGTGCCAACCTACATCCTCAGCATGTTATATTTTATATTTTGTGAAAGGGTCTCGCCAAGTCACTAAGTTGGCTGGGGTCGAACTTGTGACCTTTTTGCCCCAGCCTTCTGGAGAGCTAGGATTCAGGTATGTGCTGATGTGTCCGACAAAGCAAACTTTTTAAGTTCTCAGAGCTCAGTCCTGCTGCCGATATTCCTCTTACTCCCAAGTCACCTCTCTTTTGGACCGCTGCTAGAGATGTCTACCTGATCTCTATTTTCTGCATAGCTACAACGATGATCTTTAAAATATAAATTAGATCATATAACTTCCTAGCTTCGGTGATTCCAAAAACAAAATCCTAAATCCTCCATTCTGGTTTGTAAGATCCTGCAGGATTTTGTCCGTGTCTACTTTCTGGGCTTTACCTCCCACCCCTTACATCTCTCTTCTCCAGGTAATCTTTTTTTCCAACAAGCTATGTTCTTTCCTTTCCCAGTGCTTTTGCACCTTTTGTTCCTTTCTTTTGGCAGAGACTGTTAGATGTTCACCAAAGTCCACATTCTCCTTGCTTACCCCACTGCACTGAAGGACTACATTTCCCAGAACCCCTTGCAGTCACCACAGCCAAGGAAAACAAGGCTAGGCATAGGATGTGAGCAGGTGTATACCATTCCCAAGCCTCCTGGTAAAAATGCCTCCACATGATGTATTTTCCCTTCTCCCACTAACTACGACAATGGCCAGCAATGCAAACGTGGTGTATGCGTGTACCAGATGGCAGATCTGTCAGAATGGGTCCCAGGATGTGGTCACAGACTGCGAAGAAAACCTACTTCACCTCTCAGTCTTCTGCCCAATACAGGTACCTCAGCAAGAAATACACTTCTGCTGTATTTACACCATTATACATTTAAGGGTCTATTATTACAAACGCTGCACAGTTTCACCCATTCATATTTTATTCTGAGCTTCTTTGGGTTAAGACACCATCCCTGACCCCCTTCATCCAATCTAATTTTGGTTGCTTTATTGTTCTTTCACTCTGCACTTTATTCTTTCATTTTACTCATCACAATGCATAATTACATATTAACTTGTGTGTGTATTTAAATTCTGTGTACATAATTGACCTATAAGATTCATGAACTTAGAACCTTTCATCTATCACAATAACATACATAATCTATATACTGACTGGCATACAGAAGTCCATAAATATTAAAATGTAGAAGATAAACAAATGAGACACATCTATCAAGGAAATACTTTTTTTTTTTTTTTTGGTTTTTCTCCGGTACCGGGAACCGAACTCACGACCTCGCGCTTGCCAGGCAGGCGCTTTTGCCACTGAGCTAAATCCCCAGCCCAAGGAAATACTTTTTAATAGGAGACCACAACTTTAAATCAAACATCATAAAGAATTAAAATGCACACCATGGAGTATTTTTTAATCTTTATTCCTTCAGTATTTTTTAATCTTTATTAATTCAGAATGCAATTCTGGGCCAATCTACAACCAAGAGAAAACCCTGAACTCTGAAGTAGTGTTAACAGACTGATTAACTAACATAACACTATTGCCCCATAATTATAAGCAAGTCAGTCTCCATTCCATTCGTAAAACCTCTTGGTAGACATGTACGTTTTCTTCCCATCAAAAATGCATTATCAGGATCATGCTTATATAGCTAATCAACACAAGAGACAGATGACAACTTATATTGAACTATTTAATTCTCGCAATAGAGAGCTCACAGGGCCAAGGTACAGCTGTTGTCTTTTTTTTCAATGGCATTCATTATGTGACACTGTCACCAATTACATTACAAGAACTTCACTAATTTTTAGAAGCTAGAATTAGCCAAAAGGTTTTGTATTACAAACAACACCTGGAATACTGGATCTTGAGCCTAAGTTGGCAAGATTACTTAGACCTTTTCTGCAGTCCTTTGTCTAATATATGTAGGCAAATGAATGCTATATAAGAATGAAATGGGTTGAGTTCTTATATTTTTACCTAAGAGTCTATTTAAGTAATATTGATTAATACTTAAATGATTAAATATAAATCAATGTGAATAGTAACTGCACAAAATCTAAAATAAAGTGGCCACATTACACTGTACTACATCATATAGATAGATTAAAAGCAGCTAATTGGAAGCCTTTTAGAAATTTAAAGTTTCAGACATCATTTTCCACCATTCCATTAACTCTTCTTTCTCCTCTTCTTTCCTTTCAGAAAATGACTCCAGTTCAAAATCGACCTGTCCAACAACAAAAAAAAAAAAAATTAAGAGTGTCTATTATCAAACTGTATATTTTTAAAAATACAAACCTTAAAAATGAGAGGATTTTTAGAGCTTAAAGAATAAAATCAATCTAACCACTTGAATTAAAGTAGATCTGAAAAAATCTCTCATACTAAACAAAATACACATTCAGGATGAAAAATTAAAAGCCATTATGTTTGAACTGTGCTTCAATCTAGTAGCTTTAAAGACAGATATATTGCCGGGGATATAGTTCAGTGGCACAGCACCTGCCTGGCAAGCACAAGGTCATGAGTTCAAGTCCCAGTACCAAAAAAAAAGACAGATATAACACAATGAAATTCCCTGCCCCTATTTCACTCATTTAAAAAATGTAACTCATAATTCTCTGCCTTTGACTATTCCATGAGCTCCTCCTTCGGGCTTAAATTTCCTCCTATGAAGTAGAAGAATTCAAAATAGAGTTCATTTTGCTGGTGTCCCAACGTGCAAGGTTCTGCTTTCCAAAAATGTAAATTTGTTAAAGAAACTGATGGAAACACACCCCACTCTCCATGTCAATAGGAGGGTCAGGTCTACAGGAAGCCACACAGTCTGCATAGGGCAAGGCTAAACGTGCAGCCCCCAACCCAGGTCCTTCCCAGGTCCCCATTAGAGGTGGAACTAAGAGCTCCTTGCTATCGCCATCTGAACCCCTGGTTACCTTAGAATGTGGTTACACTGGTCGCATCATTGGACTACAGCATGGGAGAAAGACTCCTGAGCAAAATAGCTGATCCTTTTTATAAACCTGTTCTTAGAGATACTTTTTTCCAGCTTTCATTCATCCAAATGTACTTCAGTCCATATACACACACACACACAGTCAAAAGCAAAATACCCGTTTTAAAACTCCAGAGATTTTGTTTGCAAAACCAAGCATTTGTACTCGAAACTTCAGGTACATAAAGAAAAATACAATACAGTTTTCTCAAGTGCGCCTTTTGATTGGAAATCCTGCAGGCCACCCTGTGTGTAATCCCAATAGTATCATACAAAGATGATAGCAAAAGGCTGTCCTAAGTAAAATGTGTCATCACTGCCATTGCTTTCTCAACCAAATTAATTGTATCGACTTAAATAAGACACAGATTTTGGTAGTACTCATCATATGCTTGTAATAAATGTTTAGCTAACGCCCAAAGTGACCTGCAGGCACCACTGTTTTTTAAAAAATATTTACTGGGTAAGGCACTACGCTAAGTGCTAGAGATGAAAAGACACTTGCACCAGAATCCCATTTATACTGAACCCAAGGTCAGCAAATAAAAACTCAGTATCTTCAAGTTGTATCGTGAATCTCTTCAAAAACTGAGGAATGGGGACATCTCTTCATGTTGCATGGTATTAAGTCACCACTGAGACCCTGGGCAAATCGTTTACCTTTGTTGGGCCTCAGTTTACCCAGCTGTTAAGTGGTAATAATAAAAAAAAAACTATTCAGGGAGTTATCATGAAGATTGAATATGTCACTTAAATATACTTGGTAGTGGTGGGTGCTGAATAATTATTAGCTTATTGTTATCATGGTCCTTTAGTTGTTATGATTACTTACCCCAACAGCTGGGCTATAGGGCACCGCCACTTTCTTTGTTATTGCCAGATAGCCTGGAGCGGAGGCTGTGAGTTTATAGTTTCCGGGCACAAGGAGTCTCCAGTAGTCACCATCCTTTGCTAGAGGAAGACAAAGCATCAAGCTACACTGCAGGCAGACGCAAAACTCATAGCTGTGTGATCTAAAGACCCACTACAGCTCAGTTCCACTTCTCTGAGCCCTTCCTTTTAAAGTACATGGGAAACTGGATGAAATTCTACGGCACCGTGAAGCTTCCTCTGCAGGTCTCATTTCTTAAAGCTATCTTACAGATATTAACATTAAATTGTCCAATAAGACTTCTAAGACATGGAGCTGCTACTCATGTGAGGAGTCACACAGGTAAAAATGTACATAAAGTCCCTCAGCAGTGGGGTGAGTGGGGTAAGAACACCTGGCACCACGCTCGGATTCTTGCCAGAGAGAGACTGGATGGTCTACAAATCTACAGCACTGTTTCAAGGTAGCCTCACCAGAATTTAGATTTTTAAAGATTCAGCTGGCGTGCCTTCTAGAAAGGAAATTTTCACAACTCTCCAGAGAAGTCTTAAGAAGAGCTGTGGCTTCATCTTTTTCATTTTTCTAGCTTCCTTCCTAACCTAGATGGGTTTCCATAGCCTACCACTGACCGGGCTCATGCTCGTGTCTCTACGCGCTTGTTTTGCTCCCTTACTCAGACGCATATGGAAAACTACCAACCTTGGATAATTTCCAACTCTCTACACCTATTTCCAGGTGGCTACGAGGAGCCTGAGAAAATGCACACCCATGCCGGTGTGTCTCTAGTTCATAAGCACCAGCCTTACACAGGTCAGGATACCTTTCTTCTATATCTCTCTGGCCCATTCAGTCTCGGGTTTTCCTAAACCAGCACTTCTCAAGCTTAGGTACACAGCAGTAACCCAAGAAACTTGGTAAAACGCAAAATCTGATTCCCTAGCTCCAGGATGAGGCCTGAGATTCTGTACGCCCAGCCCTCCAGGGTGATGATAACGCTGGTTGGAGAGGCCACACGTTAACCTTAAAGGTTCTAGTAGGCAATTCATGCTTTCTCCTTTTTACTAACACCTCATCATCTTCTCTATTGATATTTTACATCTTATTTCTCTCAGAAAACAGATACAATCAGAAAAAAATAATGCAGCCCCAGTGCCCACAGTTTCCAACCCACCTCTAGCCCACACATCTCCCTTGTGCTAGTAACACATTTATCTTCTGTGCTTGACAGCAATATTCTTGGAAAGATCTGTCAGTCTTCTCCATCCCCAGTGGCTCTCTTCCTATTGTCTCTCGGGCCCCCTCCTGAGGGGCCGCCACTACTCACTCCACTGAAATAGATTTTGTAGCGTCCCCAGACTGCTGATTCACAAGGGTCATCTTGACACTTAATCACTCTCTCCCTCTTGAGACGCTTCTGGACTTCCAGGACAACACAATTCATTTTCTTTCCACCTGACTTGCTTCCTACTGCTAGTTCCTTCCTATTATCCTTCCCTCAGTAAGCTGGAGTGTCCCAGAGCCCACACCTGAGAAATCATTTCTATTCCCTGGGTTACATTTCTCCACACTTTTTGCATTGTGGGAGGCAGAAAAAATAGGATCCGGACAGCACAGCAGGATTAGCAGAGAACAGGTTTCCTGTGGCCAGGGGGCATCTGCACTTGGGCGCCACCCTCTGGGAGGGTTGGGGAAGTACTATCTTGGCACAGATTCTGGAGAGACGATTGGGAAGGCATGCTGGCGCTTAGTGGGATATGGATAAATATTTGTTACATGAATGAACAAATGAAGTTTTAGAGGAAAAATGTTAAAGGAAAAAAAAAATCCAAGCTCGAAGCACAGAGGTTAGGAAAAACAAGCATCTAAAGTGCTTTGAAAGATAAGCTAAAGGTTAACTGCTCACAAAGCCTAAAATATTGTAAAAGTTTATGGCTAGAAAATCCCTGCTATTATTGTCGTTGTAAAGATCCCGGGGAGTGACGGTGTGACTAACATGGGTTGGGTTGAGGTTTAACAGGAACTGGCAGCTTTACAGGAAAATACCTCACATTCCCCAAACTGAGAAAACGAGAATGGGGCTTTGTACCCGGCCAGAACTGACACAAGGTCCCGGCTCAACCCCGTAACATCCTGCTCCCCCTGGAGTCACTGCGTGTATTTTAAGGATCAAGAGAAATGTGTTAGAACACAGCTGGCCAGGAGTTACTCTTCTTTTTTCGCTCCCTCCTACTGCCCAGCAATTCACAGAGACCCGAAAGTCACTGTCCTCAGCTGCTTCGCTTTTCCTTTGCCGGAACATCCATGCACGACTACACCACCGCGCAGTTCTGCAAGAGGGCTGGGCGAAGGGCGCCCCCTGCTGCACCCCGACTGCAACACACAGCCTCAGCCCGAGTCCCCGCCGCACCTGCTCTCCTGCGGGACTCTTTACCTGGACCACAGCTGAGGCAGAGATTGAAGGAAACGCTCATCTGTTTTGCTTGGAATAGCACAAGAATTATAATCATGACTATTATTAAATATGCGCTTGGACACAATGCTAGAGCCTCCGGACCGCGGCAAAGAAGACCCACCAGATATGACATCGTGGTCTATTCCTTCCACGGAGACGGTCGCATTGGCAATTGGGTTACCTTGCAGGTCTCGGACGAATCCTTTCACTCCGCGGTGTATCTGCACAGTTAAGAACAGCCGAGTCCTCGCATTAGAAAAGGCCTAAATATGTTTCATATCGAGCATCTCTCTGTTCTCTAACAAAAAACAACAGATGCCCAAAGCTGCACTTTCATCAAAACACACTCCAATGGCCAGTATAGTTTTTGTGAACTCTTTACTTGGCTTTTTTCTCAAATAGAAAAACAAGTAGTACTTTGAAAATTAATACCTCATTCTGGGTCAAAGGAAGGCGTTAAAGCACATTAAATAACAAAAAAAAAAATTACATGTTTATAAAGTTTTACTTTCAGCACATTTCAGCACTATCTCTTGCTTTTAAACTCAGACATATATGTAGGTAGATACATATCTTTCCTGAAAGACATAGACATTTCATAAAAACTACATATGTCACAAAAGAATATGCCATAGGTAATAGAAATATTATAGCTTATTAATATTACTTCATTCTGGATGAGAAGACACACACTGTGTCTACTTCTGTACTAAACCCATTAATGAAATATGTTGACTAAACATGAGTGGCATAAAATATTAGCGAACTTTGAACTGAAAATCGGTTGCTGAGTTAGAGGGGAAGCACAGGGTTGCTATCGGGAACAATACCAGGAATTAAGCTCTAACATCCGCTAAGCATTGCAGTACAAACTACAAAAGCAGCTTTTTTCTTTAAAAAAAAAGAAAATTCCTGTTAAAAGATAATTCCTCAAAGTCCATACATGTTTGAAGTAACACAGAATATCTCCAAGTCTTTACAGAAGTACACCTTCTGGAATATCAAATAGAATTCATTAAACTCGGTTACTTAACACAATATGCCCCAGCCTCCCAAATACTCAGCCTGTTCCTCACCCAACCTGGCCCTAAAAAGTGCAAATTTTTTGATATGGTACTTGGCTATTTCCTTGTGGAAGGTAGAACAAGTCTCAAGTATTCCTTTATGATCAGACAAAAAAAACATAGCAGTTATATAATAATGTTTTATCAGAGGACTGGGGATATAGCTCAGCGGCACTGTGCCTGCCTGGCAAGCACAAGGTCCTGAGTTGAATTCCCGGTTTAAAAAAAGACCACACACAAAGAGATGCCCCTGGTTATTAACAATAATTTTTGCATTGCCTTTTTCATTTAAAAAATCTCCACAACCATTGGAGAATTTTTACCCTCTTGTTTAGTGAAGCCCTGTATCGTTTCTTATGTCCTTTTTATTATTTTTTATTCTCTTTAATGGTTTGATAAATCTTGCATTCTTACAGCTGATAATCTGAGCAATTTTGCTGAAGATAACAATATGTAATATAACAACCACTGATAATTCCTATCATTTTGTTCTGAAACCCTGTATCACTTTTATTGTTTTTGCTTTGCTTTGTTTTTGTCTGTGTTGTTATTGTTACTGTTATTGTGTTTTTGTTCTCTTTAAAATAAAAAACTCTAAAATCCTATAAAAATAGCAATTCAAAATACAATTTTAAAATGGTAAAAACCTTATTACAAGTAGTATAAATTTTACTACAAATAATAAAAACATTGTTGTTAGAAATAACAGCCATGTGTGGCGGTACATGCCTGTGATCCCAGTACTCTGGAAGGCTAAGGCAGAAGGTTCATGAGTTTCCAGCCCAGCCTGGACTAGCAATGTAGTGAGACCCTATCTCAAAATGACAAATGAAAGGGGGGAGGGGCCTGCAGGTGTAGCTCAGTATGAAGGTGCTAGGTTCAATAGCCAGTACCACAAAGAAAGAAAAAAAGAATGATCATTTTAATCACACCGGTATAGTGAGGCAAAAACAAACACCTTTTTTAAAGATATGGAACTTAGGAGATCTTTAATTTTTTTCCAAAATTTATTTAGGAACTAACTGACCAACACTGAAAGACTGAAATTTATTTACTGGAAAACATGACAAGTTAGCTTTCTGAATGAAAAGATGAGAGGTTCATTCCTAATCAGAAAGAAAAAGAAATTGTAAAGAAGAAAAGAGAAAGATACACAGAGGGCCTGGGGCAGAAAATCAAAGAATAAAATACGAATTTCAAATTTCTGAACTGGGACTGAGATTTTCTGTTGAGAACTGTTCAACAAAATCCAAAATGATCTTAGCTTGCAAAAGGAACTATTCACTTGTAAGTACTTTACTCATCTTGAGCCACAGTAATCCTGGTATCATCATTATAAACCTCCAAGAAACGAAAGCTTTACATTTCCTGAACACTGGAAGAGAAGCAAATACCTCAGAAACACAGTTCATCTGCATTAGACACAAACACACCCCATGAAAAGTCAGGGCTTCCCGCCTTTGTAACCAGGACTTACACCACAGTACGCAGTTTCATAATCAAAGAACTAAAGGTTTATTTGCAATGTGTCGATTATGGCAACTTTTTTCTGATGTCTTTTCATTATTCTTTAAATTTTAATTTTTTTTTATTCTTTTGTCCAAGAAGCCAACTTTTCTGTTTTCAGTGGAAAAACTCCACCGTAGTAATAAATCTCAATGGAAGTGTTATGAGCTGTCCTAAATAACCAGGAATTCGGATTGGAAATCACTGTCACTTACGGCTTTTGCAAAGGAAATCACAGAAGTTGCAATTTCACTCATGACTTAGAGAAGCTGTTTTACCACAACCTGTCCCTCCTGTAATATCCTCTCTCCAGGCCTCAGGACATTTCAATTTCAAGCAAGGATACGAAGGCATCCGTTAGATCCTTCATGGCTGCTTAGTTCGATTTACATCAGTGGCCTTTAAACTCTTGTGTTCTGAAGCGTCACCCTTAAAGCAGGGTCCTCCAGCTTTCAGGTATTCTGAAGTGAGTGTGACTCAATGGCAAACCACATGGTTCTGACCCGGCTTCCTGTGAACAATTCTTTGAAACAGTCTTTGAGAATTTTGACACCAGATGGTCCCAAAGCTGTTGAATGGGAAACTCCTCTGGGCAAACTATCTACTCTAATTAGCTTTACCATTCTAGTTCCTGAAAACATCTCTTTAAAACTCCGCAAGAGATTTCCTCTCAACCAATTAGAGAGTTAGATCTTCTCATCACCTGTTTTCCATGAGTTGTCAACTAGTCCGTGCTTAGACTGTAGGCCCAGCTGTTCAGTACTAATCACTAGACACTGCTGCTGAGAAAACAACTCCAACACACAGCTTCTGGCAGTCTTCAAGGATCTTTCATCGGCTTTTGATTCCCTGGACTGGAATATTCTGTGACTTAAGCCGCACAAGCTCTCCAGGCAGACACCACTCTTCCCGCCCCTACACAGCACACACCCTGCCACAAACACCATGCCGAGTCAAGGGCGATCATGTGAATCAGTGGACAGAGCAAATTCTCATTCCAAGTGGCTTGAAACGGGATTACAGAATTTCATCCCTCTCACTTTCAGCCTGTTTCTACGACCAGATGCATTGGACGCACACCCACCCAGCTCCATAAATATGACAAATGTTCTCTCTCCTCTTTCCTGATGGCACAAATTTTGTTTTGCCTTGTTATTTTCTCAAGAACTGAGACAACTTATGCAGCAGCTGAACCTGTTTTTCCATTGTTGATGGGGATGATGGCCTTACTGACAAAGACTATAATAAATACAGCTCTAAGAAGCTTTTTCTGAACTCCCACAACTGGGTTTAGGGACCTTTCTTGTCCACCCATGGCCTCTTGTAGGTATACTTGTTTTAGCATCTGTGACTAGGCAGCCAATTTCTGACCCACTAACATGAAACCTGGGTCAGGTCACTATTCCTAGTGCTTCAAAGAGGGCCTGCGACATGAAAGTAGCTCAATATATCTGCTGAAATAAATGTGTACAGAATAAAGCACTACAGTAGGGCAGCATTCTGTGACATTCAAGTGGGAAACACACCAAATAACCCCATCTTGCTTCCTCCACCCAAAAATACTTTTTTTTTTTCAGTTAACTTTGTTCTTGGAACCAATTCAGCTCTACTTAAATACAACATTCTGTAGGGTTCTCAGCAATATTCTAAATTAGTCTTAGTTTTTTGTTCATGAATGATATTTTCCTGCTAACATGAAGCTGGAATTCATTGATTGAAAAAGTCCTGCAGAAGTGTTCTTTAATCAGGACTCATCATAAGTAGATTTATTTCAGGGCAGTCCCTCTCAGTAAGGTATCACATGGATATAGACACGTGCAAAAGAATTCCTAAGCTAGTTTTATTTTTTTAAGAAGTAAATTGGGTGCATGTGCGTGTGTATGTGCGTAAATAGCTAACTTGATTTAACAGCATTTGTCCATGCCAAATTAGTTTAACAAATTACTCCGGACTATCCATCGGCATGGGAAATCAACATCACTCTACTTGACTTTAGGGTAAATGACCACATCCAGAATGGAATGTGAGGTTGGTCAAGGCACTGCATGCAAACACTGGCAGCTTGAGGTCTTCCCACCACCACGGCCCAGGGCCAATGTCTATGTGCTCCACAGGGAATGAGTTGGCAGCAGGCGGGTCAGTCTGAGCGGGCTGGGTATTTTATTTTGGCACACTGTGAAACACACACCAAATTCTACAGGGACCCCCATGGAGTGACTACGTAAGCAACCCTGGTCAAGGTCCAGCATTGTGCATGAGAGGCATTACAGCACAGTGACTGCAAAACTACACAGCCTGCGTTAAATCATGACTGCATAGCTTCAGGCCAGTGGCTGGACCTCTCTGAGTCCCAGTTCTGCATCTTTACTTTACAGATGAGGATGGTGGCATCACTTCTCCCACAGGGCTGTTGTCATGAGGATGAAACACACAATTATTACGTGTAGTACTTAGTATGTGTAAGTTAGAACAGTTCCTGGGAAAGGTTAAGTGCCCAGTCAGTATCAACTATCATTGTAACCCTGAGGCTAAGGAGCCTGAGACTCTCAGGACAGTTTCAGGGCCCACTGTCAGGAGCACAGTTCCTCCTTGCATGACCCTGAGAGTGACTTTTTCCTTGCAGTTTGCACCACAGGTGCCCCATTTACCTCACTCCTGTCCAAGCACTGCCTGAGACATCTCACAGGCCCAGTGTGATCAGGCTAGGAGACAGTCTCAGGATCTCCTTTGTGTGGAATAAAACATGTTATGTTATGGCTTGGTTTCATAGGCCCTCCCAAAGCATCATAAGGGCATAGGTGGGGCTTTCTCAGAGGTGGCTCAGTCTACAGTGTGTGATTGATTCATGGTGCAACGCTGGGATTAAGGATGCTAAGATTAAGGGTGGGTGATTACTAAATCAGTCCACTGATTGCTTTGGCACCACCCCAATCCTGGTGCCTAGACAGAATGTAAAAGGGGCAGAAGGAAGCTGCTAAGGTCTCTTGCTTGTTTTGCTACCTTCTGCCCACCATGAACCGTTTCTCCTTTGCAATGCCTATCTGCTGCCTTAGAGCCACCCTGCCTTAGAGCCAGCTGATTACAGACCGAAACTGCTACAAACTATGGGCCAAGTTATCTTTTCCTCCTTTACCTTTGGTGTCAGGCATTTTCTCTCAGGAACAAAAAAGTAACTAAGACACACACACAGATGAAAATAAGATTGTGTCTCACTTCACGACATGCCAGGGAGTCAGTTCTCAGTGAATGGACATAAGCCACAAAGTCTATGAAAGCCATCTGAACTGTCACTGGTGCCTGTGTTCCAAGAACCGTCTCCTCACTCAGGCTCAGATGGATTTCCCCGCACAGGACTCCTGTTCAAAGACTACTGTACACAAGACTGAAGTGCTCTTACATCTTCCATTTGATGCTAGACACCGTGTTTACCTGCTCAAGGTAGTTAATGAGGGAGTTTTTGTTATCCTCCCAGTAGCTCTTCAGGGTCTCTTCCGGTGGGAACTTTTCACAGCTAAGCTCCACCGTGATCTCGAAACAGTTGCTGCTCAGGTAGTTGAAGTCTTGCATTCCTGCCAAAACGCCAAATGGAAAGTCAATATATGCAGGTGTTCAATACGTGAATAGCTCTACATTCCCCTCAGAGCTAAGTAAAACAACAGTCCCTTTGGTGGGGCCTTTGGGAAAGCACGGAGAAGTCATCTACCACAGGGGACCAGAAAGCACACACAGGTGAGTAGTACCCTAAAAGCACCATCTCTCTCAGGTTCTTAAGTATTTAGCTACGTGCACTGCTCCTGCAGGGTGTGAAAGCAGAAGGCATCCACTCTGCACAATTGCTGAAATGAGCTTCGAAAGGGACAACAAGGTGAAAGTCCCAATCCTTGCAGACCCATTAAAGAAAAAAGCGCATCCTTCTCAAGGCACCTTCTGTCAGGGAGGAACTTGGAGAGTCATGAGAGATGATCCGGCCCACCATTCTCTCCTTCACTCCAACCAGTGTCACAGGCAATTCTAAGGGGTCAGGGGTCTTGAAAACACACTACATATTAATTCCATAATCTCTGGGCGGGGAGGTGGCTCAGTGGTAGAGCTCTTGCCTTGCATGCACAAGGCTTGGGTTTGACCCTCAGCACCATAAAAAAAATCTAATTCAATCATCTCTGAGTATCTACCACTCATAGGACATGTTAATAACTTCAAGCTTTACCAGACAGGAAATTCTGCACCCAAAACAATTTTAATTTGAATCTGATTAAGATTAGTAGTGGATGCTGCTGGTGTCCATCAGATCACTTTTACAGAGCCCACGTACCAGCCACCACGCTGCCATAAGTGGTGGCTGCTAAGAGCTCTTAACTGCCCGCTCTTTCCTGGAGACGTTCTGATGGAAGCCACCTGGGTTGAGAGATTACACCTCCCATTCCTTACCAGCAGCATGGAACAGTGGCTAACGGATAGGCAGTCACCGAATCTGGTTTCCTTGCCTAAAGGACAGACCTGCCCTGAGTTACTCTTCAGGTCCTGCTCCCAACAGCTCTGGCCAAGGCTGGCCATTACCTGAGGATACAACTTCCCCAGCTCTATCTTGTTCCTTCCCTGCTTCCCTTATTTTGCTACAGGGCTCTCCTAAAGAGTGCCCCCCCAACCCCGAAGTTAAAAACATCTAAATCACTGTCTCAGGTTCTGCTTCCAGAAAACTTGGCTCAAGACAGTGATTTTATTCTCTATAGAGAAAGCTAAAGAACCATCAAAGATGTCTCGTTTGATTACTGTGGGAAATAATCATTGACTAATATTGTTATTGCTAATATTATTGTCATCAGTATTTTACTAATATAAGTTACTTGATACTATGTGAATAATGCGCTATTTGTTCCAAAAGTTAATTCCAATGGAATTACTAAAGTTTTTATATGAGCAAAGGTGTAAAATTCCTTCCCGTCTGACATATTTGACTTACTCTACATCCTAAATCTGACATAGATCTTATTTCTCAAGTTATAAGGAACAACAATGCACTAAATCTGATCTGGTTAAATATAAACTATAAACTAAAGCCAAATAAACATCTACCAGAAAAAAACAGAAAGAATATTTTTCTTAGGGCATAACACAACAAAAGTAAGCTTATCTAACAAATTCCTATAATTACCTGCTGCCACTGACCTAATTCTCTTTCTTGTTGCCACAGAAAATCTTTGTTAGGCAGAGAATTTTTCAAAATGTGCCAATATCATTATATTTCACTCTTCCTTCTTGGCTGAGACAGGTATCGTGCCAATGGCTAGTGGTTGGCACAGTGATAAAAGTAAGAGCTCTGCGGAGTCCGTGTGAGGACAAAGCAGGAGAGAGGAGAGTCTTGATTTGGGAAAGCGGCTCCCCCAGCTGCGGTCCTGCACGTGGCTTCCCCCTTTGCACATGCTATATAACAGGTAAAACCCTTCCTGACCTAATAGTGTTATTACCGAGTGCGTACAAACTACATAATCTGTGTCAAATAGTGCCCTATCCCATCTTTTAAAAAAATGAAAAAGTGTGCACACCAAGATGCACAAACGCCACGCATACCTGATAAAATATGCATCTACCTATAGTTAAATCTGACTAACCAATAATAAGGATACGATCTTCTTGCCTAAGGCCTGGACTTAAAAGAAGGGTAATTAATAATATTCAGTTTCTATCTTCCCAATCAACATCTTCAGTTTGTTTTCTGTACGCCTTATTTAGTGACCTGATTTTTTTTAAAAAATCTAAAAAACTAAATTACATATTATTCATGCGTAAAATTAACTTGAAAGTGAGAACTGTAGGTTCAGTCTTCTGAGTGATGAAGAGTGAAGATTCTCCAAATGTCAGTCACTCTGTAAATCTAAACGGTAAATATAAAGAGGCCAATACCACATAATCAGAATGCGACATGGACACTCACCACCAGGTACACTGTACCAAGCCCCACCATTGGTTGTCCCATCTACAAAGCTACTGTCGTCGTCATTCTTGCGACAAGGTGGCCGATTGGGATCCGACATGGCCGGGTTGTAGGAAGAGTATGACCGAGCCAAGCTTTGGAAAATGGCGTCATCTGGGCAGGAGCTGTATTCATGAGCACTACCTAGAAAAAGAGCCCACAATATGGAAGGAACTGACACAGAATACGGAGCAGTACTTGTTTGCTGAGCAGTGATTCGGTAGTGAGCTCCTGCTGATCTATTTTTCAGCTACACTGCTATGGGAAAGGGGTGAAAGTAAACAATTACACTTAGACTTTGGGTTATATAACCTCCATTCCTAATACGCAAAAGCAGCAACTGAGAAGAAAGCACATTCTACTTGTGAAGTGAAAATCTCACAAGGAGCTGAAGGGGATGAGGTCATAGCAGACTAGACCAGGGAGAACAGCAAGATTTCCATTGTGAAAGATTTTATTTTTTAAAAAAATGCACTCTTATCAAACTTGTAGCACCACGAGACACTCTCACACATATTACTCAGCATTTGGTTTTTTTTTTGATATCTCCTATGTGTATGATAGCAGAATGCCTACCTGATACCACATATTCTTATCATGTATTATAAAATATATCTGTCTCACAAGTTTCCCAGCTATGGATACACCACAAAAACCTCTACATTTATTTACAGGACTGTTTAACCAGACTGCTTTGAAATCTCAGTTTCCAGTCTCTAAAATTGTCATCCTGTGTTTACAGACAGCTTAATCTTCAATGGCCCCTGAGAAGGGATCCACAGCAGGAAATTTCCTGGAGCACCAAAGATTAGCTGCAGTTGGCTTTGCTGGAAGCTTAACTAAAACTAGAGAAAACCAAAGCACCACTTACACACACACACACACACACACACACACACAAGTGATCCTACTGCATAAATGTGAGAGGGTCCTGAGACACACACGGGCCCTAACCCCTCATCTGAGGCTACCTCCATTCTTAAACCATCTTGTAAACAACACTAGGCAGCTTCTATAATCTCTTCATTTTTGCAGGGTCCAGGACTGACTCAAAACCCAAGCTCATCTAAGGTTTCTATTAAGATTATGTCTCTTTTCACCTAAACTTTGAAAACAGTTACAATTTCTTCCTGCCTAATAAATGTAGGATGTCTTTACACAAATGTATTTCTATAGGCAAATTCACTTAATAGCTGCTTCTTTGAAAAATATAATAGAAATCATCCGGTAAACTTTCCTATAGGAACCATGAGCTTTGATCCACACAGAGAAGCAGGAGGGACACCTACCACTCCGCGTCTCATCATACGGGTAATTGGCCACCAGGTCCCCTCCATGGAGGTTGGCAGAAAGTACAAAAGGGATATCCATAATCCAGTGAATGACAGCCTTCGTCTCAGGAGCAAGCTGTGGTAAAGATCAGAGATTTAAGGGATTACAACTTCTCAGTTTTTACTTTTATTATTCCATGTTTGCAGTACATATTATTACATTCATTGTGGGGAATTGGTTCGTGTACAAAACACATCTCAATTTTTTTTACATCTTCTTCCCTCTCCTCTCCCCGCCCCATCGCTTGGTTCCCTTCTCTTTAGCAAAAGATCTATGTTGCTGTCTTCTAGTATCTTTTATTTTTTTTGTTTTGTTTTGTCTTTTTGGTTTTTCTCCGGTACCGGAAACCGAACTCACGACCTTGCGCTTGCCAGGCAGGTGCTTTGCCGCTGAGCTAAATCCCCAGCCCCTCTTCTAGTATCTTTCATTTTGCTCTTTAACTTATTTATACTTTGGGCTTCTCATATAAGAAAACCCACGAGTTCTTTAAGCTTGTGTGTCTGATTCCTTCCACTTAACATTATGGTCTCAATAAATTTGATCATCTTTGGTTGATCAATTGACAGAAAGACATAAAAAAGTATTTTTAAAACTGGAAGCTAGCTGGGTGTGGTGGCACACACCGGTAATCCCAACACTTGGGAGGCTGAGGCAGGAAGATCACTGCAAGTTCAAGGCCAGCGTGGGCTACAAAGTGAGTTCAAGGTGAGCCTGAACTGCATAGTGAGACCTTGTCTCAAAAAGACTAAATAAGTAAATAATAGAAACTAGAAGCAGTTCTTTTTTTTTTTTTTTTTTTTTTTTGTCTTTTTGAAACAGGGTCTCACTTTGCAGTTCAGACTAGTCTGGAACTCACTTTGTAGCCCAGGCTGGCCTCGAACTCACAACAATCCTCCTGCCTCAGCTTCCCAAGTGCTGGGATTATAGGTATGCGCCACTACATCCAGTTCAAGCTGTTCATATTTTAACCATTTTGTGACTGTTTTCACAGAATAACAGAAGTTTCTATACAAGCAGCATTCCCAAGGTCTTTCTCAGAGTTGTATTTAAAAGTATTTCAATCATATTTAAATTTCCTTGAACATTCTACTTTGTGGGACAGTAGACTTGTGGGACAGTCAGTTTTTCTCTCTGTGGCTTGAAAACCAGCATGAAAATCACAAATTTTGGGACACTGTCTGATCTGTAATGATTTACATATCTTTGTCAATAACAGTTAAGCACAAGACAAACAGAAAACAGTTGAACTACAGAAAATGATTCTTTCTCTGTTATGGGTCATACACATGGTAGATTTATTTCCAATTTATGTTAATTTTCCAATTCTTCTTCAACAACACCGTCTTTATAAAAGAATACTAGATTTTCTTTAAGATCTGACTGTAAAGTATCAGCTTACTGTAGAATGATAACCTTAAATTTGAAAAACAGGAAAAAGTGTTTCAAGAATTTATGTTAAAGGAGAGGAGGGGCTGAAGGGCAGGGAGGGGAATAGGGCAGAAAAACAAGTTCTATCATGTACAGGTACAAATCCTCTGTGATGAACGTGACCATTACGTATATCTAAAATGTACCAATACAATCTAATTTTTAAAACAGAATTTATATTAAGTCCTTGGAGTAATTCACAGGCCCTCATATCTTGGAAGTGAAAAAAAAGAAGAAATTTCTACTGAAGAATTAACCTGACACTTTATGTGATGAGTATTTAAGAGCCACTAGGAAGACTCGCAAACCCTAAGTACGTGCTTGAGGGAAAGAAAAGCTTTTACTGCAGATGTGATTCATACTGTTCAAGACAGAAACTCTAAGGGCCTCTAGTGTCTGTAACGGGATTCTGTATTTGCGTAGCTCTGCTCTGTTTATGAGCAGCTCTCATATGCACTATTTTACTGAGCACCACAAGGTCCCCGTTTCGTAGGAATCTGAGGGTTAGGTGCTTTTTTTTGAGACAGGGTCTTATTCTGTAACCCAGGCTGGCCTCGAGCACACAGGTTAGTTTTAGCAGGGAGGCAGCAGACATTACCCTGTACTTATTACTTATCTGAAAGTATTCAAAATGGGATGCATAATATGCCGCCATATGTTTATAGATCAAGGCATTCATGGAAAATAATTTGGGCGCATACATACAAAAATGTGGATAGTCACTGAAGACTATAAGACAATAGGTTCTTTTTCTTCCTATTTATTTGCTTTATCTCTGTTTATAATAAAACAATAATTTTATAATTTAAAATATTTTTTAAAATATTTTGGAACAAGCTCAAAGATACAGTCCCAAGCACAAAAAGTTGCAGAAAGCTAGTAAGTTTGGCCTATTGTTAGTTTTGTTGTTGTTGTTTTGGTGCCGGGAATTGAACTCAGGTCCTTGCACTTGCCTGGCAGGCGCTTGTGCCGCTCAGCCACATCCCCAGCCCCTTGTTAGCTAGCAGTAGTATAACCATATACTACTGCTAAAATGCTTTTACTATTATGTTTGAAAGTAAGCAAGTCAATTCCACAATTTGATAAACTAAAGCGACTGTCTCTTTGCCTCTGAACAGAGCCTTATAAACTAACTAAATGCCAAGACCCCTTGGGTACCATAACCACATGTATAAATGATCCACAGAGTGAATCACTCTGGTACCCCGAAGAACAAGGTCCTGATACACTCAAACACTATTTGTGACCCATCTTCCAAGCTTCCATTTAGAGACGGACAATATAACCCTAATGTTGTGTATACTCTAGAATTCGGTGGCTTTGGCTCTTAAAATATGTTGAAGCTGTATTTATTCATTCTCTTCACAACTCCAGGCATTAAACACAAGTGTAACCCCAATAAATTATTGGGTGTATTTTAATCCACAATGGTTTCAAGCAATCCAGGCCAAGATTCCCGTGCTGAGCCCACATAACATGGGGGTGGCCAGGCTGTGAGCTCAGGGCAGGTGAGAATGCCTCTGCGGAAAGAAGTCAGGGAGAGGAAGACCAGATCTCCATTGTCAGAGGCTTCAAGGAGCAGGGAGCACATCAGTCCCGAGTGGGGAGTCTCAAGAGCAGTGCCAAAATCAGCACCCACTGCTCAGCATTCCCGACCCAGAGTGCTCGGCACACCACACTGAATAACCCTTAAAACTTAAAGCTCTCTGATACAGATACAAGGCTGAGAGGGATTGGGAAAAAGAAGACTATAGAGGCTGGGGATTTAGCTCAGTGGCAAAAGCATCTGCCTGGCATGCGCAAGGTTGTGAGTTCGGTTCCCGGTACCGGAGAAAAACCAAAAACAAAAAGAAAAAAAAAAGAAGACTATAGAGTGACATTCGTGAAATAGCTACTGTATGTCTCCCACTGGGTAGGGTCAAAACATTGTCTCATTCTTAATGACAAAAATGGAAAAAGGAAAAGATGACCAAAATATAGGAAATGATTGAATATAAAATACAGAAATCTTACTTATGTCCCAGGAAAAATACTATAATTTTGGCAGTTTTCTTTGTCTAGGAAAAGTTGTGGCATTAAGAATTTTAAAATAAAAGCTCTTTTTTTTTTTTTTTTTTGGTCCTTTTGAGACAGAGTCTCGCCGTGCAGTTCAGGCTGGCCTTGAGGTCACTCTGCAGACCAGACTGGTCTCCAACTCACAACGATCCTCCTGCCTCAGCCTCCCGAGTGCTGGGATTACAGGTGTGCGCCACCACACCCGGCTAAAATAAAAACTCTTATTAAAAAAGTGTACCATAAACATCTTATAAGAAGTATTGCCTGAGCTAGAAACATGAAAACATCTAAGAGAGACTATGCCAATATGATGCAAATTCATCTGAGGCAGGAGAAGGGCATGCTGGCCGGAAAGAACAGTACCTGCCCAAAGGTGCCAATCAGATACCCTGTCCACCTGGGTTACAGTGCTCCTCTGACAGGGGTAGGCATTATTTTCCTCATTTATCAGCTCTAACAGACAGCGGGAGGAGCAGGTCAGTGCAAGCAGCGGGGGCTTTGTGGGTTAATGCCGGGCTCGGCTTCCAGAACAGCGCTTCCTGTCTGCCTGGCTCCTCCTGGCTGGCCTCACAGGACCGCCTCTCTCCACCCAGCCCACTGGCTTCCAGCTCTCCCTCTCCCGTGAAAGTGGTTTTCAGGCTGGGAAGTTACTAAGCGCACCATGCCTCAGAAGCAGGAACGTCTGCCACTCGCTTATCCAGTCTGCCTAAGAGCCTCTGCCCTGGGCTGCTCCTGTCCCATGCTGACCCCTGTGTTTGTGGAATGAACCCTGAGTGCAGAGCCCTAACACGGAGCTGTAGGCCGAACAGCCGGAGCTCCCTGTCTCCTGGGTCCTCTACCCGGTGCTCCCATCACCTGGTGAGCACCTGTCTGGAACTCCTGCTGCCGGTGCTCCATGGCTACACTTGTCCGATACTGTGAGTATCTGTGAGGCTGACAGTGGGCCCTCAGCCTCCCCTGGGTGAGGCTCAGATATGAGCTTTAACTCCTGCAAGCAAGGAATTGAAATCTAGAGTAAAAGGAAAAGCAGCTCTACAAGCAAACAATTATGGTATAATGTATACATATACACATACACATGTATGTAACAATAAGCACCCCGCTGGGAGTACATAGGAGGACCGTGAGGAAGGCTTAGCAGGTCTGTCCAGAAGGCCACGGGAAACGCTCAGGGCCGGGGACACACATGGAAGAGCATTCTAGACAGCGGAAACTGCAACGTTCATGAAGGCACAGACTGATTGGAAATTGGGGAACAAAACAGAGCGGGTATGACCAGAATATGTGGGCTGCTACAGCCAGATTAACGGTAAGTCAGACGGCAGCCATCCGGGCCAAGGGACATCTGAATAAGCTGGGGACTATAATAAATGGAGAGACTGTACTCTCCAGGGTCTCGCTGGAGAAAAGTGAGATAGGAAGCCAGGGGTGGGACTTGGAAGCCAGCTGGTGCAGGCTGGGGTGAGCGGATGGGGCAAATAAGTCAGGCTGTGGGCGCCACCAAAGATGGCAGCGCACAAGAGCTGACCCTCACTCCCAGACTCGCCCACACAGAGCTACTCAGCTCTACCCAGTCTGGAAAGCCACGCCCCCTAGAAAGACAATGAATAATAAACGACTTTTCTTTGAGACCCTGTAGAGTGACACGTTGAGGGCTCTCTGTCTGTGGAACAGCCAGCTTTGCTCTCTCCTTGCTGGGACTGCGCTGCCCGTGGGACCTAGAATAAGCTTTCGTTTTATTTTCTGGTTACTATAAGACGTCTGATTTACACGTGGCTGAGGCCCCACGCTGGCCAGTGACCTAGGTGCCGGAAGTACCTGGACAACAGAACAGCACCGAGCAGCACCGCCTGGAGCTGCTGCAGCTCCTCTGCACTCTCCCCCACGACGGGCGGGATGCGTCCCCAAGTAACTGCACACGATCTAGGTTTGAAGGTGCATCGGTGCTTAGCGGGATGTAAACGCACCCACATAAGCTCAGGGGAGCTGAGGAGCTTTCCAAAGCTCACACAGCAAGTGTGGAGCCAGGGCCCGATGCACGGTGGCTAGATCTACACCCTGCGTGTTTAACCACCGCACCCTTCCGCCATACTGAGGAGAGCTGGCAAGCGGCGATGGTCTGTGTGTGAAGAAGACAGTGGAGGACGCCGAGGTGACCGAAGGGCGCTGGGGGAAGACGGACGCAAAGTAAGAACAGGAAGCTACCTCACCAGCAGAGAGGAGACCGACCGGGAGCCTGAAGGAAAGCCAGGGAAGGGGCTGGCAGAGGAAGGGGCCACGGAAAGGCCAGCGAGGTCAAGTCATCGGGACGTGGGAAGTGAGGGCTGGTGCGCAGTGGCAGAGGGAGAAAATCAAAAGCTTTGACGACCAGGATAAATGAAACAATCGCGGTACCAAGGGAAACGCCTTCTTTGCGGCCAGGCTGCGCTTGAGTTCCTGGGGCCACCAGGAAAAGGACCCCAGTGAGCACGAACAACAGAAAAACGGGTCCTGGAGGGAGTGGAATGGAGGTGTGGATCTGGGAGACCCCGAATCCTGGCTCACACTGAAGGTCGGGGGAGGGTGCGAACCGAGGCAGAGGCAGGGAAGGGAAGGGCAGCAGAGGGAAGCCGAGGACGGCGGGTATCGGAGCCCTGTGGGACGAGGCAGGGAAAGAAACCAAGCAGCGATTCCAAAGGCGGGAGCGGGAGGACACGTTTTGTAAAGCGAGGGAGGAAAAGCAGACAAACTCAAGCAGCGGGAGCTACAGCAGCTGCTGAGCAGATGCGCAGATAGAGGCCTCGGAGAGGGCGCAGCGCCTGAGGCCTGAGACGCGTCCCCCCTCGGGCCCATCCCAGCTCCTGCGCGCACCCCACACCCAATCCCGGGGAGCAGGGCGAGATTCCAGGCTCAGCCCCTCCAGCCCGGCCTTCTCGGTCAGGGGTACCTGCCGCCTACACGCTGACCTCACCTTTGTGTCCTTCTTCCCAATACAGACGCTCAACCGTATCTCCTCCCGCTAGAGGACAGCCCCCCAAGGAGACCGTGCGTGTTCTCTACCTTCGCGTTCTGATCCACAATTTTCTTCAGGTTTTTCAGCAGGTGGTTGTTCGGACCACCTTCTTTCTCGTTCACATAAACGATCCTATCCAGGTCTGGGAAGTTGCGGTTCAGATCTATCCCCTGGGCGTTGCTTCGACCCACGAACCAGTCCTTGAGCTCACCAGGCTAAAAAATAATCAGAGAAAAATGATCATCTACGTATTATTATTGTCACTCTCTACAGAAGGGCTCCATTAATGCCTTTAAAAATAACTGATTGTAGAGGCTGGGGATTCAGTTCAGCGGAATAGCGCCTGCCGGGTAAGCGCAAGGTCATGAGTTCGATTCCCGGTACCGGAAAAAAAAAAAACAAAAACAAACAAACAAAAAAAAATGGATTGTTTCAACAGTACTCTCTCCTAGTGGTATTTTCACTACTGCGCTGATATAAGCATGAACGTATCAGGTTTATAGTATTATGGAGATTTGGACAACATTCCCAATGGATAATATTTTAAATATTAATAATAATATTTAAAAGAGATTTAGCAGATGAATGCACATCACTCTACAATCAGATTAAAGTAAAATGTGCATTTCCTCCGCCTATTTTTTAAATTTTCAAAATAAGGTTAGAAACTTAAAAACAAGACATTTTATTTTAATAACATGTCCCCTCTTAGAGTGTTCATCCAAAAACTGAATTTTATTTCGAAATCTGGAGGAAAGGCTTTTGAATATTTTCACCTAAAGAAATAAGATGTGAAGAGATAGATATTTATATTAAACGTTACACAATGTATGTGTGTATGTATAATTCTATGCATAATTCTATTTTTAAATAAATTTAAATTGTAGAAATATTCTTTAAAAAATATAAGCTCTAGCAGTTCCAAGACTTAAAAAGACTGAGGAATTTCTATCCAATTTAAACTCTTCACTAATGATACAAGTGAAAAATTAACATATTTTCAAGATATTTAGTTTTACTTTATGAAATTAATTTCTTCTTTAGTATTAAATTACATTAAATCTATTATATACACAAAACTACCACGTTTTTGAAGTTATATATGCTTAGGTACCTCAGACTATGAGGATAAAAAAACTACAAGACAGAAAATACTACAATAACCTCTACCCAATTATAGATATGAATGTAACTTTAAAATATTAATATTAAAAATTTGCTTTTTTTTCTTTCTCTTTTTGAGACAGGGTCTCACTACGCAGTTCAGGCTGGCCTTGAGCTCACTTTGTAGCCCAGGCTGGTCTCAAACTCGCAACGATCCTCCTGCCTCACCCTCCCGAGTGCTGGGATTACAGGCGTTCGCCACCACACCTGCCCTAAATATTTTACTTTTATACGTTACTAGGATTATTCTTTCAGAACTTTAGGAATTATACCAATGTTATACTTATTTACAAAAATTCACTGGGAACTACAGGGTCATTGGCTCTTCTTAACTTTAGGAAAACATAATATTTACTTTAATCCATTTCTATAAAATAAGAAAATTATCACGAAGTGTAGACAACAGCAAATATAATGCCCCATCCCCGTCCAATAAAAATGGAAACACGTGACATATTATCTTCTCTTAAAAGCCACTGATTTCTATCATAGCAATTGAAATGTATAAAACTATTGTTAGTTTCGAGATAGGGTCACCTTTTTGCCTTTTATTTTTTTAACTTTCTTCATCACGCCTAAAACCAAGGATTAAACATCAGTAAGTGATCTGAGCAAAAGTAATTCTTGCTTTAATTCAGTAGAGGGCGCTCCAACACCGACTCATCGGTGGCATTACTCTTGAGGACAGGGCAGCATTCTAAAATCTGCATTTTTAGAAGGCAAATTACCTGATCACAAATGTGAATAAACGTTATTTTTTAAACAATACAAACAAAACATTATTAAAATGCTAACTTCTTCACAAATTTTCCCACTCACAATCTCTGCTGAAGAAACTACCTTATCCTTTACATTCTTTTTTTTTCTTTTCAGTAGGCATTCTGTGAGATCCACATGTCTTCTTTTATTTTACTTCTGGCTTTTATTTTTTAACAGCACATGTTTGCAATACATAATGAGGACATTCCTCGTGGGGGGATGGTACATGGACATCACACATTCTAATCTTTTTCTTAGCAGCAAGTTGAACAATGGGTCACGTACTCTGTTGCACCATCTGCAAGCTTTGTATGAAGACGTTGTAGACAGAGGAGCACACAGGTATAAACGTACTAAAAGAAAACAGCGAGGAAAGCACACCTAGTGCCACCTGCATCACACTCACCTGAGATGCGGCCTTCTCGAAGCCATCGGGGTTCAGGGAGGGCATGATGTGAATTCGAGTGCCGTGGATCAGGTTGACAATTGTCTCGTTTCCCTTCTGGTACTCATTGCACAGGTACTGGGCCAAGAAAATGAGCAGTTCTCGTCCAACTGCCTCATTACCGTGCATATTCCCAACATACTTAAACTCAGGCTCACCTACAACACCAAAAATATACGGTATAGAGGCATTTTCTGTCACACCAGAGAGAAGGCTAAGGGCATGCAGTGCCCAGTTCACTGTACATCTGCCCACTTATTACAAATAGCCAACAATTTCTTTTCCCTCCAGAACTGATGATTTTCTAAGAAATCTACCTTAAATGTCCCTTGGAGAATACTCCAAACATCCCTTCCATCCTTCTAGCCCTCTCTCCCTGTTATACACTGAATTGAGTCTGCACAAAATTCATGCAGTGAAGGTCTAACACCCAGAGTGATTGTATTTGAAAATAGGGCCGTTGTAGTCAAGGTTTGCAAGGGAATAATACAGGATCCATGATTTACAGGATAACTTTATAATAGTCACCCAAAGAGTCATACACAAAGAGAATACAGGAAATCTGTCCACACACTAAAGACCAAAAAAATCCAACTGAGGGCCTAGATCCCATGGTAATGTCCTGCATGAGTCCAGCTGAAGACCTAGAGCCCATAACAATGCCTCCCATGCATCCAACTGGAGGCCCAGAACCCATGACAATGTCTCATACAGGCCTGTTTCAAGGATCTGCTCTGGAAAGGCCCAAAGGTCAGTGATGGAAGCTAGAAAGTCTGTGCCAGCGGGATGAAGGATCTGTGCTAGCAGGCTGAGGGATCTGCACTGGAGCCAGGATGCAATGCACCAAGTAAGAAAAGAGCCCCCCTGAAAGGTACCACAGCCATCCTCAGGGACAACGAGGTCCTGAGGTCCTCTGACGATGAGAACAGCCAAGTTCATATCAGAGAAGCCAGCATGACAAGCTTCTCCAGGACACTGAACTGTGTATCATCTTCCCCTCCAGAGCCAGGAGGCGATCAAAGTGAGGATCAGAGCTCCCCCAAAG